TTTTTTTTTTTTTTTTTTTTTTTTTTGTGTCCTCAGCTTCTATTCCCTCGTTGAGTACTTACACGAATACTTTATTATTTTCGGCCATTAATTTCTCCTGTGTACGAGCAGAAATACAGACACTTATGTATCGGGGACTGTGTCCAGGGGGGAACTCTTTATTTATTTTTGGTACGCATCTATTGCATGTGCCGTCCTTCTCAGTCCGATGTTTTATTAATGGTTGTTTTCCCAGTTTTTTTAAATATTTTAATAGCCTATTTTTAGTTGCTGCTTTCCACTGTCTCCTTCCCCTCCCCCCCCTCCCTCTTCCCTCGTGCCCCTCTACCTATGGAACCTGATTTGGTCCCACTAGCAAACCTATGGAACCTGATTTGGGCCCACTAGCAAACCAGCATTTGATTCTGGAACCAATTTGTCAAGCCTCATGCCCCTCTACCTATGGAACCTGATTTGGTCCCGTTTTGTGGGACGTGATCCTTTTTCCTTTTCTTTCCTTTTCCGGGACCTTCGTCCCTTACCTGATTTGGTTCATTTTGTTGGGCGTGATCCTATTTTGGACCTGGTTTCCTGTTGTGGAATCTTTTTTCCGGTTTGGGATCTTTTTCACTTTCTCGAACGTGGGCGTGGGGCTTGGTTACGCGTTTGGGACCGACCATGGTCTATCTGATATACGTGGTTCGGAACTTGGTTCCTGGTCCGGCCAGCAGTTGGCACCTGGTTCGGAACTTGGCACCTGGTCAGCTTTTGCTTCCTGGTCATGGTTTGGAATTTGGGACCTGGCTCGGAATTTGGGACCTGGTTATGGTTTGGAATTTGGGACCTGGTTTGGAATTTGGGACCTGGTTCGGAACTTGGCACCTGTTTGGAACTCTTGGGACCTGGTCTAGCAGTTGGCAGCTGGTTCGGAACTTGGCACCTGGTCATCTTTTGCTTCCTGGTTATGGTTTGGAATTTGGAACCTGGTTTGGAACTTGGGACCTGGTTCGGAACTTGGCATCTGTTCGGAACTTGGGACCTGGTTCGGAATTTGGGACCTGGTTCGGAACTTGGCACCTGGTCTGGTGCCTGATGTGGAACTTGGCTGGAAACGTTCGATGCCTGTGGGACCGTCCCGCTTCTCGTAGACGTTCATTACCTGTAATGGAACTCCTTTTTTTTGGGGGGGGGGAATGTAATGGAACTCTTGGGAGTACCATTTTTTTTTTTTTTTTTTTTTTCGGGATTACCATTTTTCATTATGTTGTTGTTTATTGATTATTTCCCCCCAGCCTATTTTCTCTCCTGTGCTAGGGAACTTGAGCTCTGGGAATGGCAGAGCTTGATTCCCCCACGTAGGGCCGCGCCCATTCTTTGGAATTCATCTTGGTCCATTCATGTGGGCCTTGGTTAATCTTCTGGACCTTGTTCCTTCGTCCTTGGGTCATCTTCTGGACCTTGTTCCCTCGTCTGGACCTGGATCGTCTAGTCCTGTATCTTTTGAACCTGAGTGATTATCTGTCTTCCACCGAACACAACGCACCCTCGTCACGACTGCAGCAGACCCCTCCGTATCCGTCTGACTACGTGGAATGCTCTCTTTTTTTTTTTTGCCATCTGGAATTCTTTTTTTTTTTTTTTGACCACTTGGAATTCTTTTTTGTTTTAACCACCTGGATTTTTTTTTTTTTACGTCATGGAATTCTGTTTTATGGTCTTTTAATGTTGACCTGAAGACTATCATGCCGTTCCGCTTTGGGTTCACACTCTTTGGGTCGCGCTCCACTATCCACATGCACGGAAGACGAAAAATATGCCGGTGTATCTTTCCATGTTCCAGCGGAAGATTCATTCTCATTTTGCACATTTGGAGAGTAGTGGAGCGAGGCTGTTTTTTCCTTCCTCCCTTTACCGTCTTTCTCTCTGCTCTCCTCTCATTTGCCCCTCTTTTCTCTTTTTTTCTGCCCCCCTCTTTGCCTCCTTCAATCTGCGTGGAAACTTTGTTTGTTGTATGTGTCCTAGGCTAACTAGACTTCCTCAGTGGGTTCACTCTGTCTCCCCTCCACCTTCCCCTTCCCCCGTCGTTCCCTTATTGTTTTCTCCATTGGCTTCTCTCTCTCTCTCTCTCTCTCTCTCTCTCTCTCTCTCTCTCTCTCTCTCTCTCTCTCTCCCTCTCTCTTCCGGCCCAATTCTTTTTTTTGTTTTTTCGTTTGTTCCATAGGTGGTCGTCAACTCTGGCCCGCTCACCTCCACAACCTCCCGTCTCTTCCCTCCCTCTCCCATGCTCTCTCTCGCCACCCTCCCTTCCTCATCCTCTCTCTCCCCGTCCTTCCGCACTCTCTCTCTCCCTCCCCCTTTCTCTGCCACTCGTTCGTTACTATCTATGTGACCCCTCTCTTATCTCCCCCCTCCCTGTTCCACTCGTTCATCGCGGCTCTCCCCTCTACCTCTACTCTCCTTTTTTTTAAATTATTATTTATTTATTTTATTGGGTCGATGGACCACGGATCAGATATTAAACTGATCAGAACAGATACAGTGCACTTGATCTCAGCCAAAAGGTACTACTCTCCTTTTTCCGTGTTTTAAACTTTTTTTCTCTCCGTCTTTTTCTGTTGTCATACATTATCTCTGCGCGAGTCGGTTGTTTCCTCGACACTCTCGTCCCTCTCCCCTACTCTTCTTCTTTCTCCCTCTTCTCCTCTCGTAAATCTCTACCCCATTCCTCTCTCTCTCTCTCTCGCTCTCTCGCTCTCCTGTCTTCATCTACACCTCTCCCTACTCCATCTCTCTCCTCCTCTTTCTCCCTTTTTTATCATCCAGTGGTGCTTGCTGCCCGAATGCACCGGTTTCTGTCATGCTCTTTTATAGTTCTCTCCCCTTCCGCTCCCCCTCCTCTCATCTCCCCCCCCTCCCCCCCCGGCCCCAGGCTCCCCTCGTCTTCCCTCCTCTCTCCTGCCCTGTCTTTCTCTTTCCATATGCCGAAGCGGTGGCCTGCAGTGTTTCAGGAGTTTTTTTTCAATCGTATGATTGATTAGCTTAAGTAGTTCGCCGAGTGATGGGCTAATATATGCCTCATTGATTGATTTGGCAATCTTTTCAATTGCCTTTACAAAATTAACTATCGAGTTGTTATTACGCGATTACCGAGCGCTCCTCCCATGCGGGGGTACTCGTCAGGTTTTTGTGTCTTAGTTTGTTGTCCCAAAGTATGGCACGCTGCCACGTGTCGGGTCCAGCTGCCACCTGTCGGTCGGGTCCAGCTGCCACCTGTCGGGTCCACGCGTACTTCATGGATTGAGTTGAAGTGGTGTGTGCTCTTGTGGCACACGTCTGGATCTGTCCAAATGGAACACTGCACTTTTCCGTCCAAATGCACGCTTGCACCAATCGTCACGTGCCTGCCGTAATGGACTCTACCCCGCCGTCTGCCCCCGAACAGACTTGAACTCCGGTCCGATACGGTCATATTAAGGGTCCGATACGGTCATATTAAGCCCCCGAACGCACCCTAATCGTGAATGTACTTACCCTTGAACTCCGGTTCGATACGGTCATATTAAGGGTGCGTTGTGTTCGGAAGAAGAGGGGAGTCAGATACATTCCCCAGGCATCTCCAATCCTAATCCCTCTTGTACGACGTTCCACGTGGCACACGTGTTGATGGGTGTGTCTCCCAGCTGAGCTACCGTCTTCCCCCGAACATAACGCACCCTGGAAAGGAAAGTATACAAGGTATGTTTCCGGCCAGATACAGCCAGAATGAGGGTGCGTTCTGTTCGGGGGAAGACGGTAGGCCAACAGTTGAGAGGTGGGTCGCAACAATTAGCTTGGGTTTGTAGTGCCAGGTGTTTTGTCAGGGGACATGATGCACACCTGCGCTCCCCCCCCCCCCTCCAACCGCCCCCCCAAAAAAAACGAGAGAGCACGTAGCCGGACTTCCTCCCTGGGCCCTATCCCCGACACGTAGTGGACACTTGTTGAGAGAGCACGTAGTGGACACTTGTTGTTTTTTGGTGTTTTTGAAGCCCGATGGCTCATCATTGATACCACGTGACAAACCACGTGGCCATATCATCATTGAACTGACCGGCGGTCTTCTGCTTCCATCTGGATTTCAACACTCCGGTCTGTGAGTGAAGAGTTCGTGGGTGTAGGAACTGCGCTACCACGTGGCCCTTCGTTGGTGTATACTAGTATGTCACATGGGCTGGTCATGATGTCCTTCCACGTGGCCGTGCTAGTTGAATGCCACGTGTCGCAAGGGAATTCACATGAATGCATTTCACAAGCATCTGTTAATTTACAGGAACTGCGACGTGTCCTCTTACTGTGCGACGTGTCTTCATCTCGATTTGATCTGTCGACGTGTGGGACGACCAAACTGGATTTTCAGATGCGTCGTTCTCGAGTGCGACGTGTCCTCTTACTGTGCGACGTGTCTTCATCTCGATTTGATCTGTTGACGTGTGGGACGACCAAATTGGATTTTCAGATCCGTCGTTCTCGAGTGCGACGTGTCCTCTTACTGTGCGACGTGTCCTCTGACTGTGCGACGTGTCTTCATCTCGATTTGATCTGTCGACGTGAGGGACGGACAAACTGGATTTTCAGATGCGTCGTTCGCGAGTGCATCTGGACGTTGTTCTCGAGTGCGACGTGTCGTCGGCGACGGCGGCGGCGGCGGCGGCGGCGGCATAGATGATGATGGGTCTTGTCTCGACGTGCCTAACCGTCTTCGCCCCATAGAACGTACGGTCACTATAGCCCGTGTATTTGGCTTACCTTTCAGTCCAGATGCAACGAAAATGACCGTACGTTGTATTCGGGGAAAGAAGGTAGGGTGATCGTGCTCGACGTGTCTGAAAGAGATCTACGTGTCAATAGAAAACGTGGTCTCAACGTGACGACTCTCCTGTCCACGTGTCTACTACCCTTCTTCCCTCGAACACAAGGCACCTTTTTTTTTTTTTTTTTTTTAAAGGCACCTTTTTTTAATCTCGCGGCCTTTGTTTTGTTTTTTCCTGTTTTCTGGATATCCTCTATTTCTCCTGACAGGAAAAAAAAACAAAGGCCGCGAGATTAAAAAAAAGGGCGCAAAGGTCCCGTGACTCCCTCTTACCCCCCTTCCTCCCGCATCCCTTCCGTCTCCCCCGCCTTTTCATCTCCCACTTCGCTTCCTTCCCTCACTTCCAACCCCTCTCCCCTCCCAACCCTCCTTTCCCCCATCTCCTTCCTTCCCCTTTGCCC